TATACATATATACACACTTAGTATCATACGTTACAATTAAATAATTCAACTAATAAAAATATACTATTCTATAAACTCGGATTAGTAAAAACACACATGATTTTATTGAAATATCCTAGAGTAACGAAATTCATTTGATCAGCAGTTTGGTTACAAAATATTTGAAGTCCGAAAATAATTATCATTATGCGGTTTATAATATTAATCAATCACAAGGTAAATGAATAAATAACGGATAGTGATTTGAAAACATACCAAATGATGCATTGAAGAACAACGAGTTGGACCATGAGGTTTTTGGTGTAATCTCCATACATGGCTTGAAGCAAAGGTATGCCCATAACGAGAGTGTTAGGGAGAGTAGCGATTGAGAAGAGTGTGATGAGCCAATCGAGACCACCCGATTTGAAGAAAAGGGCCCATAGCGAGAGCAAGACGAAGACGAATATTTTGGATAAAGTATCGGCGAGGATGAACATTGTGTCCATTTTGTAAGGGTTGTTTTGTGAGATGAAGTGGAAAGAGAGGACCGGGACGGCGAAAACTGAGACAAAACGGTTGATTCCGGAACATTGCGTCGGCGTGAAGATCTTCCACCACTTCACCGATCCATAAGCCACGAACATGGCAAAGTAGAGTGGTGCCATGGCACACATCACCGTGTAGAATTCGTTTCCCGTTATCATCTTTTGCTTTGCTTCTTTTTCTTCTTCTTGGTCAATTTAGGTCCCAAGTGTGTGTTAGGTTATATAGGGACTTGTTGACGAGATTACCCCTTAGTTAGCCCGTTATTTGCATTAGGGAGGGACTAGCCGCGGTTATAACACTTTCTTTTTATGTATCTTCATTATCATTTTAACCTCTAAAATTCTGACACATTAAATAGACTCATCACAGTTTTACAATTAATTAATTAGTTGATTTGGTACTTTTTTTATTTTAACTTCACAATTAAATTAATGAAAAATCTGATTGGTAATCCAAACCGGGAAAAAGGGTTTATAATATTTAGAATAACTTCATACAATAACTTTGCTTTGCATTATACATTGCTTCTCTTTATTATATTATTATTATTATTTAACTAATAAGTAAACAAACAACAACAAAAAAACAAATTAAATCAAATATCACGTAAAACACAAGTTATTTAATAATTTAAAACAAAAATCTATACAGATTTATCTCATAATTAGGTAGTTATCAAACCAATTTTTTTAATATGTTCGGATTGTGTGAATGTAGTTTACAAGTTGGGTAGCTTTTTATACATGCCGTTGAATTAAAACAAAGGAGCGTAATTCTTTTTGGAACGTAGCATGATTTATTGGGACAAAAAATAAGTAACACAAAGAAAAATAAAACAAAGATGAAATAATAAAATTTACAGTGGTTCGACAGAATAACAATATGTTCGTTAACATTAAAAATTATAACATTTTATTTAGAATATTTTGCATAGACTATCAAGTTTATCATTTTCCCCCATTCATTCTCAACATGTACACGCATAACTCTCTTTTTTTTCAAAAATCTATAAAAAACAAAATTGGGTAATCCAAGAAAAAAAAAAACACTTTGTTTACCCAAAATTTTGTGTTTTGCCTAAGTGAGCTTTTCACTCTTATTATCGACCTAACTCTTTTGTTTGTTTTCCTGTTATTTTACTTTTACAGTATTTTCACTTTTTGCAGTATTTATTCACTTTTTGCATACAGTTGCATCAAACTCGGACAACATAAATTATAGTATAAAAAACACATGTGTTTATCCAAAACTCTCAACACTTGGTGTTTTGTCGAAATAGGCTCTCACCCAAATTATCTCCCTAACTCTTTCATTTTAATTTCTTCTACTGATTATTAAACTTTTTGTTTGTGGGTTGTTTTATGACGTAAAACTATATGACTATTCAAGCCAAAACCAACTAGGAATACATGCATGAAAATGAAGATAAGTATACTTCAAATTTGAAGCTTTTTAACTAAAGCTACGCAACTTAGTGAGTCACTAATGACTATAAATTTCCGTTTTTTTTTTTTGGTCTCATGCAACTCTTTTGATGTATATATTCCCATTTCCACAAGTCTATATATATCTCGCTATGCTCAAGAACAATATCATGAGATTCGTCAATTAATTAAAAAAAAACAGATATCTATCAATAATTCAAGAAACAAAATCAAAAAATAAATTAATAATGAAGTATAGTCAGTTTTAATCATCTTATTAAAATATGTAAAGCTAACATATCTGAAACTAGAAAAAAGTTGGAACTTCTGACCATATAGAGGGAGGGAATGTAATGAACTTCTTGTACTAACACTACATATGTCAATTAAGATTAGAAGCAAAAGGGTCCACAAAGAGAAAGAGATGATTATCTTGTTCTTAAATTATTGACATTTACATATACATAATTGTACATATATAAATAAATAAAGCGAAGGAGATCCTCATAGAATCTAAGATCAATGATTTAAGCGCAATGGGTGGAGACTAACAGTGTTAGCCTTTTGCTTTCAGACTAACAGTGTTAGCCTTTTGCTTTCAAGCTTAAAAGCCTTTAGCCTTTAGCCTTTTGGTAATTGCGAGAACTAAGAAATAAATTACTTTGTCAACGAAAGGCTACAAAAAAGTTTGGGATTATTGATTCCGTCCTATATATCTAACCTAAGATAAATATTATATATCTAACCTAAGATAAATATTAACTAATCCTACTACTTAACCAAAATGTGTAGACAAGAGTTCTGTAGGATATTATATAAAATCACGTATAAGCATGATTATTGTTCCCAATGGGTAATGACATTAAAGCCTCTTGTAACCTTATATTGTCTGTATATATAAGTACACATATGAATCTGACAATAAAATTCAGAATAAGCAATTTTGAATGTTTCTCGATCGACTAGTGAAGCTGTCTTTATCATTCTATATTGTAAGGTTATGTCACCTCGTCTCTTGACGTTACCACGAAAGTATACAACAATACACACATACACAGATGAAAACACTATGGAATAAAAATTTAATGTGTTAACTAATATTTCGAAAATTTATATATTAAGAAGAACAAAAAAAAGATGGTAAAAAAAAGGTATGATGATGAGAAACAAGACTAAGAGGAAGCGCATGGGATCGAGGAAAGGGGAATAAATGAATAGAAGTGGGATTATTGGTAGGTTAGAAAATCAAATCAAATTCAAGTGCGAAAAATGATGTGTTCATTTCAAAATTCTAAATTACACAAATTTAGGAATATTTTTTTATAAAAAGGGAAAAATTGGAAAGTGAGTGAGAAAATGGTCTGAGAAAAGGGGGCAAGAACTAAGATGTGTCTGGTCTAGTCATTGGAGAGATAGAGAGGTTGGAGTGAGAATATCAAAGGAAAGTGACATAACATAAGTTTTTGCATCTTTCTAACTCTCTTCTCTTCGCGTGCCATCAATTCATCATATTGTTCGTTTCTTTTTTTTTTTGGTTTATTTTCCCTCAACTTCTTCGTTCTGTATTTTTCGTTACAAACATAGTTACATTATTCCGTCTTGTCCAAAAAAAAATTATTCCGTCTTGTCAATGTACATGTGCATATGATAGATATTTTGATACGTACAAGTATCAGGTCTTTTGTTGTTGCAATGAGATTTGTAAAAGAATCTCTAAGTTCATAGTTTTCTTGATCCACTTGACTCTTGAGTTAAGCATATAAATCATGTCTATTGCCGTTTTGCGGTTTTTTTTTTAAAGTACACAACACCATCTTGATTATTTTTAAGCATATTAATTTTCATTTATTCGATAGACAAACCGAAGTGAAGTGATCTTGGTCTAGTGGCAAATGATAAGTCCACAGAAGACAGACACCATCACACCAGGGATCGAGTCCCCGACTCTACAACTTAATTATAGAAATTAGGCTAATGGGCCGGCCAGTTATGGTCCAAATGTTGATAAAAAAAAAAAAAAAAAAGACAAACCGAAGTATTATTCTAAATCCAGTTCCCAAATCCAGGTTTGGTCTTAAGCCCTTTGCAAAGAAATATTTGCAAGGCCCAATTTTCCCATCAATTGTTTTGTTACATGGAGATCGAATATAACATATCCGTTGTAACAAATAAATGTTTTGTTCACAAATCTAACCAATTTGACAAATTTCATACTGTAAATGAAAAAATGATGAGCTAATTCCAGGGAAATATCAAGAAGACTAATTATTATTCCAAATCTAAAAAATGCAATTCTCCAAACTCTCCACCAGCTCAAATTAAAGACATGAGCTAGACACTTGTGCTATGAATAAAAACTGAAAGCACAATGCAATTAATCTTAAAGAAATTTCTATACCTGTATTCGTCTTCTCTTTTTGTTTCTCACAGACTCACGTTTCTGACATTTTTATATAGGAATTTTCAGACTACATGTTAACGACTCTTGAAGAGAAACCGTGAACATTAAGCTAAATCTCAGTCTTCTCTGTTTTCTATAAAACTTCAAGAGAAATAATACGATACAGAGACAGAGAGACTACCGATATACCCTTGGCTGTTATAACGAACAAACCGATTTACACGTGCTCCTCACGTGACAAAGAGCTAACTTTGTGTGTGTGTGTTTTTTTTTTAATATCAATCTAACTAGTGCTAACTTTCTGTCTCAAAGAGATTCTTCTACATTCATCGAACGTACCTCCTCAAATTTGTTGCCATTTGCAGTCATTTGGTTGAGTTTTCGTGATACTCGCTTTGACATTTTGCAGAGAAAACAAAAGACGTTACGAAGGATTTCAATATATATCTCTTTAAGTTGTTGCCACATGCAGTTTTCTTAACTTAATACTTGCCACGTTACTCTTATACATTTGAATTCCTTTTGACTAATTATCCCTATATTGAGTTTTTTTTTTCCTTTCTAAATTATTGATTAATTAGCTTAACGTTTTTTTTTTTTTTTTAAAGAAAGAAAAAAAGAGAGCCAAAGTTGGAATAATAAAATAAATTGATTTATTATTCATTGTTATGGCTTCTGGTGCAACAAGAACTCAGTTGTTTGTAATATAAAACGGAAGGAATTTTTACTTTATTGAATATTTTAATATTTTACTATAATTTTGTTTTTGGTTTTTTATGATACACGAATTCTTTTTACAAAATTTAATAAAAGGAGGATTGTCACCTTTCGGAAGGTTTTACGCGGTAACAGCTATATGCAATAAATGACATAAGGTCAAAAATATGAAGGATATATACTATATCTCCTCTATGCATATAAATATAATCCGAGCAGATATAAAAACTTTGTAACTCATCTTAAACGATCATCAAAAATGAGTCGTAGAATACGAGAAGATATATCGATTAGTTTGTTTGGTCCGAAAATGATCACTGTTGCATTATTTCTAGTTTTGTTTTATTTTCATGATCAGTTAGGTTATTCGGTGGCACAACTTCAGTTTGGATTCTACTCAGAAACATGTCCATCAGCAGAATCAATCGTTCGTGATGTTGTTCAACATGCGGTGACCAACGACCCCGGAAAGGCTGCTGTCTTACTCCGTCTCCAGTTCCACGATTGCTTCGTTGAGGTCCATTAATGCAAAAAAAAGAGAAGAGAACCAATTAATAATCATTTTTTATACTAGTCATGACATAAATTGGTTTGGTTATATGTCGTAGGGTTGTGATGGGTCAATACTAATCAAGCATGATGGGAACGATGACGAAAGGTTTGCTGCGGGTAACGCGGGTGTGGCTGGTTTCGATGTTATAGACGAAGCCAAATCAGAGCTTGAACGTCTTTGTCCGGGGATTGTGTCTTGCGCCGACATCGTTGCTCTTGCTGCTAGAGACGCTATTGCTGAGGTAACACTTGAATAGTTTTTTTTTTCAATTTTTTTTTATACTAAAAGGTTCTAGGCCGAGGTCCATACATTTTTCAAACTTGGACCAACCTTTAATATTTTTACTGTACTACCTGCCATTCCATCCTGTAACTTCTTAAAATTTTCTAGGATATATACTTCTTTTTCTTTTTTTTTTTTATCATACTTTAATATATAGTTCTTTTTTAATACACAATGAATAGTTTATTGTATTCATATATAGGGCTAAAGAAGATCATTTTTCTTTTATAAAGTCTATCATTTGATGTTAAATATTAACTGATTAGGTAAAAGGACCATTTTATGAGGTTCCAACCGGTCGGAGAGACGGTCGGATTGCAAATGTTGGTCATGCTACAAACTTGCCAGATGTTCAAGATTCCATAAACACTTTGAAATCAAAATTTAGAGAAAAAGGGCTTTCAGATCAAGATCTTGTACTTCTTAGTGCTGGTATTTATCATAATCTTGATAACTTGATATATAAACACTATTTCGGGAAAAAAGAAAACACTATCTTGCTTACTCGAGTTTTATTTTTGTTAAAGGTGCACATACTATTGGTACAACCGCTTGCTTCTTCGTCATACCACGTTTAGATGCTCAAGATCCTACCATAAATCCAGAATTCTTTCAAATCCTAAGGTCAAAATGTCCCCAAGGCGGAGATGTTAATGTCAGGATTCCGTTGGACTGGGATAGCCAGTTTGTGTTTGATGACCAAATCTTGCAAAACATCAAAAATGGCAGAGGTGTCATTCTATCGGACTCTGTCTTGTACCAAGACAATAGTATGAAAAAAATCATTGATTCGTACCTAGAAACTAATCAAAGTTCAAAGGCTAATTTTGCTGCGGATTTTGTTAAAGCCATGGTAAAGATGGGTGCTATCGGAGTGAAAATCGGTGTTGAAGGAGAGATTAGACGTTTATGCAGTGCTACAAACTAGTTTTTAAGATCTCATGTATAGTTAAGTATATAATCCGAGTATGTTAGAATATTAAAATAAACAATTTTTTTTTCTGCAACAAATTTGAGTTATTAAAAGATATTTATACGAGTTATTTGTAGCATTGCACGTCTATTAATTAATCTATTAGATTATTCAATCCCACCATATTGAAATCAGAAAATAAAAAAGCTTTGAATAAAAAAAATGTTTTTTATAGAAAGCCATAAGCCTAGTTTGTTTTTTATCAAGATGTTTCCAAATAAAAATATAGCCAATTTTCAAATATTTCCTAAGATATAAAGTTATTGCTCATATATAACTATATAAATAACTGTAATGTCGCTGATATATTTTCTTTTTTGATATCAAATTAGTGGTCGCACACTATTTTTTTTTTTTTTACAGCTTTTTTTTTTTTGACAGCATGGTCGCACACTATTATTTTTAAGTTTGATCAACATAATGATATTGTGCTAACTTATGTTGCTTTGTGCTAGACTTGTATTTTAATGCAAAATGTATGCAAAACATAAGCAAAAACTATGCAAAATTTATGCTATATTTTTTTTCTCCATACGAGACTTCTACAAATTGTTTCTTTCAGCGCTTTTTTAATAGCTCAATTTTCAAATGCAATTTGTCTTTTAAATTTTTTTTTATATATAATTACATTCACTGGTTTTTTTTTCCATTACTAACTAAACATGATATCAAATATCTATCCAACAACTATAAATATCTAAATACGTTTTCTCCTACTTTTGGATCCAAAAGAACAAATGTTTTTAATAAGGAACCGTACCGTCTGCATTATAGGTGAAGTGTAAATTTCATATATCTTAGTAGAATTAAACAACAATATGAACATATATGAATGCTTATTTTCTTGAGAAACGAACGAAAACATAATAATCCTTTGCTTGTCGAAAACCTCTATTATCTTCTACGTTTTAACATCAAATGCCATGTTTGCAATTCTTTTGAGACTGCCTCACAAAAATTAATGCTGTTAAACTTTTTTCTTTTTTTCACAGCATTTTGTTTTTATAAGATTTGATGCAAAAGTTTAAATGGTGGCACGAGCTAACCAATGTTTAACATAGGCCCACTCTAGAATTAATACCCACAAACCCACAAGTAATACTAACGAATCATAGATGGGTAGGAGCCCAACTAGTAAAGACCATAAGGTAAAAGCCCACTTAGAAAGAAAAGAGGAAAGTAACAACAGTAAAGAGAGCTTTGTGTGTGTTAAAAGTTATTTAATTCTCTATTATACTTTGCACAGAGAATATGGAAAACTGGATTTACCATTCACTTTTGTTATTAAATCGCAGAATTTCCATTTATATAGATTTGTATATCATCAAGTGAACTTAACCAGAATTCTGTAATATGAATTTTATTCGTTCTCCTAGTACACAGCCAGTGACATTGACACGTGTGAGGCTAGAAAATGATTAGTGTCAATCACAAAAGAAGTCAAGAGGCATGCGTATCAGCCACAAATCTGTTGATCAACCTTCTCGAAGTCGCCGGACAAACATGGAAACAGCTCTGCTCCGGTACTGCTTCAATTTTTCCAGTCATCCTTACCACAAGAAAATCTCCGCACATCACAGAGTCGATGGTGAGACTCAGAGAGACGAGAGGTGCGCTACGGCTTTGAGTAGAAGATCGGTACTGGCGTCTGGATTCTCGTTAGTCTCGTCGACGGCTTTAGTGTTTCCAGGGGATGGATTGGCTGTCGTGAAACAGGGTCTTCTTGCCGGGAGAGTTCCTGGTCTATCCGAACCTGATGATGAAGGTTCGTTTCACTCTGTTCTTGATTCCTATATGATCTTGTCTTGCTCTGTATCTTATCCTTACACTCTTTCCTCTTCTTGAGGATGTTACCACTGATTCTTGGAGTTGTGTCTAGTAGTTGAGAATTTGTTGGTGTAATGTAATTGTAATGCTCAGACAGGTTGGAGAACATACCGTAGACCAGACGAGAAGTCAGGAGGGCATGGTGTTGGTTGGAGTCCTATTATCCCTTATGCCTTTTCGGTTCCTCAAGATTGGAATGAGGTTTTGTCACTTGTTTCGATTTGGGTTTGTTGCAATGTTTTAGTCATATTTTTGAGATTCTTTTCATTGTTATATCAAATTTAGGTACCTGTATCGATCGCTGATCTTGGTGGCACCGAGATTGACTTGCGATTTGCTAGTCCTAAAGAAGGCCGTTTGTCTGTTATTGTAGCTCCTGTTCTAAGATTTGCAGATAGTAAGTTGTCTCTGCCGTTGAAGATTCATCAAATCTAGTCTCTTTTTGAGTTTGAGGCAATGCAATCTTGTTTAATTGTATTCGTTGATTGATTGATTTTGTGTGTTCTACTTACATGTATTGCTTGACAGACCTCGGGGACGATGTTAAGATTGAAAATATTGGGCCACCAGCGAAGGTGATCAACGCATTTGGACCAGAAGTTATTGGAGAAAACGTAGAAGGGAAGGTGTTAAGTTCCAATGTTGCAGAACACGAGGGTAGACTCTATTACCAGTTCGAGCTAGAGCCGCCTCATGTACTGATCACAGCAACAGCTGCCGGAAACCGCCTTTACTTGTTCAGTGTCACCGGAAACGGTAAAGCGAAACTTCTCTTCTAGTCAGAGATTTAAAGACAGAGAAACACCTTTTTGTTGGACTTTTAAACAGTATTTATTTGCTTATGTTGATGCTATAGGTCTTCAATGGAAGAGACACTACAAGGATCTAAAAAGGATAGCTAGTTCATTCCGCATTGTTTAGAGGAATTAAACGAAACTTTTTTTGATTCATCAGATCTTCAACAAGTTTACTCAAGAGTTTCTCAAGACTTAAGAACACAAAGAGCGGTACATAAATGTATTTGTAAAAAAAAGTTGAGAATCCTGTAATTTTTACTTATAAAACAGAGTTATCTCACAGTTTCATCTCCAGCTGGCTTTATATGATTTCTTATTCATTTATCTGGAGTTCCTAAAAAATTCAATTAAGAAAACTTGGAAAATGTGAAAAAATATCTGATATATAGTTTAGAGCTCTCAAAAACAGAATTACTAAAAGAACAAAATATCTGATATGGTTTTGATCAAATTAAAAGATACGCAACTAAATAACTTTGCCACGTAAGTAAGACAATTAATCAAACACCTAGCAGTTAAAAAAAAAAAGGAAAAACAAAAAGAAATAAGAAGCTCTAGGGTTCTTCACGCTGAAGAAAGCAGAACTTTAAATCCAATCCGTACATTCAAACACAAACACATGAACTCTGATCTTGTCTCTGAAGGAAGGTACAACAACGATCCATACTTTATCGAGTTTTTTAACCTTTAATTCCACACTAGAGGAAGATTAAAGGTTTGAGATTATACAGCTTTTTATAAATTTACAAATATGTTTTCTTCATTCTGAATCAGGCGTTGAGTTTAAGGTGGAAAACTCAAGCCGTTGACGATGGTGGTTACTTGAGCAGCGGGAGAGTCTCCGGTATTTTGTTGCCGGAGCTACTTTCCGGCAACATTCCTCCCTCATCCTCTATTGCCAGCAACGTATTCTTCCCCATCTGTAAGAAACTTTCTTAAACTTCTAAGTCTAGTTTTTATGTAAATTTACAAATTGTCTAGCATCCAGCAAAGTCTAGTTTTTATGTAAGTGTATATGTGTATCTCTCTATAATGGGGACGTATAACGTGACTAATTAGCATCTAGAAGCATAAGAGATTCTGGTCTTTATTACCTGGCTAGCCAGAACCTGGTTCTCTTCTCTCAGCAACATCTCCTGTTTGGACAAGATCAGAAGGTCATTAGTTTCAAACAGTTTTTCTTCTCAATACATATTCGACACTTCATGAGGGAAATGTTGAATTTAAAACTGTTTTATGTTCTCATTAGGGTTTCATCTGAATGAAGCCAAATAATTAATCAGGAACTAATTAAGACAAGGCCAAAAGACATATCTAGAGTTAAACTAGGTTTAGTGATCTGTAGACTCCGAGGTTAATAGATTTCAAGAATCATCATAATCTAGAATATGGCCTTGATAGCAAATAAAAACCAAAATACTAACCTTTTCTTTTAAGGACTTCACATACTCCATCATCAGTTCTGCCTACAACAAGACATTAAGAATTATGTCAAAAGACTGTTCTTGGATAACTAACTAAACCGAAGGTTTTATGGAATAATTGATTGAATCACTTAGTAGCAGCACATATACCTTCCTAGCCCTACTTACGGACAGAGCAGTCTCGAGTTGTTCCTCCAGAGAAATTAGAGAATCTACTCTTACATTATCGACATTTGGTTCTTCAAGCTTGCTGTATTCATAAGTAGACAAAAGAAAAAAAGTATTTTTTATCCGAAGAAGAGGGGGAGAAAAAGGTGTTGTACTACTAACCTTTGGACTGTCTCTAGTAACTCCTTGTGTGGAAGATAATTCTGAATTTTTTCTGCAAGATCCTGCACAAGGATAAAAAGAAAGGTCGGAAAGATTGTGAAGTTCTTGTATTTTCCAGTAAACACAATAACTGTAACTCTAGAGAATTAAGTTCGGTGTTACAAGTTCAAAACATTGAGTTATCTCCGGCTTGACCAGCGCTTCTATCCCTTCATAACATCAAAAACCGCATCCAGAAGAATATTGTAATGATGTTCTTAGCTAACTTACTAAGGCTTTAAGTTCATCAGCATGTTGTATTTCATAACGATCAATGATCTTGGAAATGCTGTAGATAAAACAAAAATGCATTAGAACAATAATTTATGCAAAACAATTTCAAAACTAAGAATCAGATAGAGCATCAATAGAGGCCATTATAGAGAGAATGAACCAGAGTGGAAGAAAACTTATATACTATGTTACATTATTTTGCAACAATTTTGTGTTACTAACCAACAGTTTTTGATAATCCTCTTTACCTAACCAGGCATCTATATATATACACAATTGATAGCGAATATAGCTTAAAATAATAACAGTGTAGGTTACTATTAGTTTTTGTATGGTTACCATTATAGAGAGAATGAACCAGAGTGAAAGAAAGCATATATAATATGTTACATTTTGCAACAATTTGTGTTACTAACCAACAGTTTTTGATAATCATCTTTACTTAACCAGGCATCTTTTTTTAATTGATAGTGTATATAGCTTTAAATAAAAACATTTCAGGTTACTATTAGTTTTTGTATGTTGACTCTATTTTTGCAGTTACTGCTTTAATTTTACTATTCCATTCCATCATATATACTCTCTTTCATTTTCATATTCATGCATATATATGTAATTTTTTTTTAAACTTCAAATGTAAATCTGAAACTCTGATGCTGATCTAAAATCTGACTTTACAATTTTATCTCAAAGATACTGTTATATATCAACTTGGGAGCCAATGGAAGTCCTTGTTTTGACTTCAAAGGGTTCGAGAAACTAAATGCACACATTTTTAATTCCTCCCCGTGAGTTCAGTTATCTACCTTCTTTTTCTTATCAAAGCTAAATCAGTTTATAAAAATAGCTTTGATAAGAAAAAGAAGGTATTAGAAAGATTTATCTAAGGTCTATTAGAAATAACAAACTTTCAGTCGCATTCAAAATATTCTTAAAGAGAAGCGGATGAGATTTCTTCTAGATAGAAAAATGTCAGAAGTTCATGGGGTTAGAAATATCCCCAACAAATAACAGACAACTTTTAAATTCATTGAACATATGGTTGTAGATGACTAGATGTAGTCTATGGTAAAATGAGCAACCGATTTCTACTTAATAAACCCACTAGGCCACTGACATATATGTCGTAGCAGTAAAATTAGTTATAGTTTGAGTTTCTTTAGCAAAGAAACCCAAACTAAATTCATTGCAAGTTTGCAACATCTTAAAAAGCAACAAAGAGTTACTCAGAAAGACAAATGTATCTTATATGGTGTCATATACACACAAAGTTTACGATTAAAAGGGTTAAAATCGATATCCAATTAGATAAGTAATGAAGAAGGTGTGGCAACTATCAATGTGGAAAATTATCCCAGCACTACAATAAACCATCGAAATCAACTATAAATAAACCTTTGGCCTTGAGGGAAATTACAAAATAAAAGATCTACAATACATTTTGGATCAACATATTGTACAATTTGGCAACCAATTTGAACCAAAGATACTCGAATAATGTTACAACTGACCCCAAATAATCTCTCAACAAACCTATCTGAAGTGCATTGCAATATTGGATATAATTACCAAATCTCAAAATTTAACAATCTAGATATCGTTTATTATATGAAAAAAACGAAGCTTCAGGGTGAAACAACAGATGGAACTAGCAATACAAAGATTACTTAAACAACATCAAGAACGAATCACCACGTGTAGAAAAGATCTTGAATCACATGCAAAATTCAAAAATGAAGGTAAAATAAAAACAAAAATGATTCAAGAAAAAAATGAAACGAAAAAAAAAAAAAACACGAAACGAACACCAAGAACATATCTTGGCCATCACAATGTTTCTTAAATTAGGTTTAAGCTTACGCATCTGCTATCTTTATACAGGAAACAAGGATAAAATTTCTGTTGATTTGAAGGAATCAAAAAGCCCTAGATTTGAAGTTTCTATATGGAGAAAGTAACTAAACAAAGAGGATTAGCACAAAACTCGAGTGAGGCCCAGAAGAGGAAAGTAGCTTACTCGTCACCGGAGGAAGACTCGTAGAGTTTTCCGGAGGCAGAGACGACGACAACAGCGACGGAGGATTCACAGAGAATCGAAAGTTGTCGAGCTTTGTCTATGAGACCATTGCGTCGTTTGGAGAAAGTGACTTGTCGACTGCTTTTGTTCTCGATTCGCTTGATCTCGATTTTTCTTCTTCCCATGGCTTCAATCTCCGATAAGGGTTATGCCCTAATTTAATCCTAATCTCTGAAGACGCTCGATGTTTTTGCTTCTTCTATTTCTTTTTCTTGGTTTTTTTTTTCCCTATGGACAAATGACAAATCCAAATCAGTTTTTTTTTTTTTTTTGGTTAAACGAGATAGAGAAAATAATAGTGTATTCAGCGAAACGGTTGCGTTTTCAGGCCACGAAGAGACCAATTTTTTACGCTTGTCGAAACGGTTGCGTTTTAAGACTTTTTAGTCCAGTCGGTTAGACCGGTCCGAGTCCGATCATCATCCCCACCGAACAGAAATTGGTTTTAAGGTTTTGTTTTTATATTTGGAGGTTTAAAAGTTATTTTATCACTTTGGTTTCGATCGGAAAGTAGTGCTTATGAATCCGGTACGGTTAATTTAAGGATTTCAATTATTATTGACGTAATTTTTTTAAAGAGTAAAAAAAAAAAAAAAAAAAAAATTACAAGAGTGATCGAATAATCGAAACTACTATTCAAACTTTCACTAAAATGGTTTGAAGAGTGATCGGATAATCGAAACTACTATTCAAACTTTCACTAAAAAAAATGGTTAAAAAAAAAAGGTTTTGAGTTCAAATATTTTGAACTTATTGATATTTTCAATGCGATTGACTATCACCTAATTATTAATATTGATTCGTAACTTTACCAATATGTATCTACTAAGACCATCTTAAGAACCATCTCCAACAAAAGTTTTTAAGAAGTTCTAAGCATCAATTTTTACAAAAACTAAATATATAATTGACCTAAATCTTAAGAACTGCTGGTGTCGGATCTCGTAATGGATCCGGCCCATAACGCTAATGGACCAAGAAAACAAAATTGGCCTTTTTGACACAACCGGATTCGTTAGAAGCCCAATCGAGAGGCCCATTTCGTTTGAACTTCGTAACCGAAGTAACGGAATGATCCAACGAAGTAAAAGAGAGGCGGAAACTGCGGGATCATTGACCAAAGAGGATTCAAAACAGATGTAATTAAGAGGACATAATTTACGGCGAGATTTATGATCTCATGTCTCGCATATGCAACTATAAATAAGAACAAGTCGACATTGTCAACGGGACCGGAAAATTGGCCCAAAAAAATCAATACACACACTTTTTCTTAAGAGTTCTTTGTTGTTTTTGTGATCGTTATTCGAATTGTCGAGACTAGAGACCCGTAAACATCTCAAATATATGTTTTGCGGAATCTGACATCCACAAGAACCAGCTTTTATATAAGAGCCAAAGTACCAGTTCTTAACATTAATTTTTAGCATTTTTCTATCTTCTTTTTTTTGAAATATTTTTTGAATTGATGTGATTTCACTATGTTTGTAAAATTGGGGAGATATAGTCAAATAGTTTGTCATATAAATCACTCAAATGAATCTTATATAGTTTGTCAAATAAATGTCATGAATCTCTGTTTTATATGACTCAAATCAAAACATGTGTAGATCATGTATGTTTAAAATTTTATGTCATGTATGTTTCAAATTTTATGAACTGCAATCATTATTAAGTTTTCTAAAATTAAAAATATTTATATTTTCATTTTTAAATTAATTTTTTTAAGAACCCTAACTTAAGATTCTACCGTTGGACAATGCCAAAAAATTAAAACCTTTATCCAAAGTCTTAAATATAAAATTTTCAAAATCAATAATAAAAAATATTGCTAAGAGCTCTTGCAGACATTATCATTGTGGATGTTCTAATAAGATAATTGGTATTGAAAACATTATAACACCTAAAACTAAGAGCATATCTTAAAATGTTTGTTTATTTCTTTATTTTCTGAATCCTTCTTGTCTTGATGCATTGGGATCTTCAGAGAGGACCTCCCCACTCTTATGTTGGTATTCCGAGCAATTTTGACCATTTTATTTGTGGTACATGCTCGTCTACAGCTATATACTGTCGATTTTCACCAACTAAAAAGACTGCTTCGCGTATAACAGCCTTGATCAAAATCTTTGTGCTTTCTTCCGTCTTCGAGAGTATCCCATTACTTTACCGAGTTAAGTCGTAGATCCCGCCCTGCATCGTTCATACTCTGTCTCAATACTCACTTAAGGTTAGTAATTAATTTGGCTTCCGCATTTTCAATGCTTGGTCGCTTACGCGATAACTAAGCTGAACCAGAATCTGCCCACAACCCGAACCGGATTAAATCGGTATTGTCTTCTTCCCAATCTCGTTTCGGGTGTATGTAGAGCGCTTTGATCCTTTTCTTGGAACTATATTTATATCCCCTCAACTAACAATAGAAAACTATATATATTGGACAGGATTAGCAGAAATTACGACAAAAAATCTAGAGAATTAGATGGACCTGACGACAGAGCCCAAACACGCATGACTGTTTGATTATTGGGACTTAATAATGCATAAAATAAAAGAGAATGGATATGTATTGGTTGCATAAAAATACAGCGATTTTTTTTTTTTTTCGCCGATAAAATAAAATACAGCGACTGCAAGCTTTAGTCTAGATCTGTCTACAGTGTGTGTTTGTTACCAAATGATCTGTTTTACTGTTTTTGTACTTACTTTTTTTTTTTTTGGATTAATAAAATAAATTAGTATTCAGTAGGCAAAAAGAAACTACAACATTTCTTTTGCTTTTAAAAATTTCTTGTGAATTTAATAATTGTATTTTAATATATTAATTACATTAGGAGCATAAAAATCCAAAAAAAAAAAAAGTAAAATCTAAAAAGTCATTTTTCCGGCGGGGCCCACTGGCCTATTACTCCCCTCTAGGAGAAGAGGAGTTGCATCGAACTCCTGATGTTGTCTAGTTGCCCAGTCACTGGGCTCTTGGCATTGCTTTTCATAGTTTATCTTTTAGTATATAAAAAGTAAAAAAATATTAAAATTAAAAGATAAAGATTCTGGTCAATATAAATTTACATAATTAGGAAACTTTACGTTTTACTTTTAAGAAAGGTTGAATACAGTATATGAGAAATTCTTAGAATTGACTGTGTTTATTATATAAGTCAGCCTAAATAAAATTGGAAATACTCTTTGAATATATTTCCAAAAAAACAACATGATATTTGAGTGTATTTAACTATTTTAAAATAAAGACTGTAATATATTAGGTAACAAATCAACTGGAATCTTTTTATTAGGAAGTATGTTTGAAATGTTCGTACCATGAGATCAATATATATATATATATATGTGTGTTAAGACATTCATATAATTTACTTTTCCCAAAAAAGTATTAAGGTCCACCGAAAGAAAATGGCTTCCATTAAGCACTTCTTCCTCTTGTTTATTTGCTTTAGTGTTCTCGTAACCTCAGGTTAAATTCTCTAACCCATTTCCTTTACATGCTAGTGTTATTATAATTTGTCGATTCAAAACTGTAAACAAAAGTGATTATGATTCATTATTTTTTATCATGTTGGTAAAGATCAGGCATACTTTTTACTAGATATATAAGAGCATGTGCAATGAGGAGAAATTCTCACAGTCTCTCATATATATTATTTTAATACATTTAATTTAGTTTATTTTTTATTTAAATTTTGAAAGATAGAAAAAAATTCATAACCAATAATATTATGACATGTGTTATAATAGTCTCTCAAGGGGTTCTCAAGAGTTCTCATTTGAGAATTGATTCTCATCCCTCTCTCCTACTTTTTATTATTTTTATTTTTTATATTGTTGAGAACTCTTTTGAGAACCCACCACTGCACATGCCCTAAGAATTGTATGTATGTTAAAATATAGATTGATTTTTAGATCTATCAGCATCATGCAAAATTTACTGTAGCTCTTTAAACAGAAAAGATCACGGAAGTAAAAAGGCATCCAACAAGAAAATATTACTAGATTATCATCATTTGATCCATGAATCAATATATAATAGCGCTTACATGAATATTGTCGTAGAATGCACATTGAAATGCTTATTTTGTTAGTTTAAATTTTGAATCAAAAGAACTAGTTATCAACAACAGACTACATACATTCAATCTTTTTCCCTTTTCTTTACTTTTTAACTCTTAAACAAAAAGAAAAACAATAATTCCTTGGACAGGACTGGCCGACTCTGCACTCGTAGATTGCAGTCCCGACTTCAATGACAAAGATTGCGACAAAGAATGTAAGGAGTTTGGTCATCCGGGAGGCTATTGTGGGCCTGATAGAGCCCAACCACTGTTAAGCACATGTTACTGCAAGGATCGTTGATTAAAGAGCTTAATAATGCACCCTAAAATAAAAGTAATGTTAACGGGACTAAGGCGTTGGATATGTATTGTTCATAAGCTTCTTATTGAATAAATTCCATCTCGTAATCTCTTTTACTTTTATTATTATCTACGTAACGTAACCAATCAGACACATTATTGATTATATTTTAGTCATCTAATCATACATTAGTCGATTAAAACGGGGTGTTACATCTGCCATTGCACCAAACAATGGATGCCCACATTGGTGGAAACTACATCAATGAACCAAAAAATGATAAGGATAGGGCCAACATGACCAGAACAGTCACTCGACAATCGTTCAAAGACTACAACTTACAAACAAATTGTGAAGCCATGTAGGGTGGTGGTAGATATGATTGTAGATTACAGTGTTTAATGACACTTTGAGCAATCCGGGAAGCTCATTTGTTTGCCGAGGATCTTTCATACTTCACTGTTCAGTCCTATAAGCTTTTTCCAAAAGGACCAAAGTTTATGTAGCTTCATACCGGAAAGACAGCCAAACAATGGGACCGTTAACTGCTCTCACATAATCTAAAGATTCAGTCACAAAAACAATCTTAGAGAAGTACATTAGGAGCATAAAAATCCAAAAAAACAGTAAAATCTAAAAAGTCATTTTTCCGGCGGGGCCCACTGACCTATGACTCCGCTCTAGGAGAAGAGGAGTTGCATCGAACTCCTGGTGTGTAGTTGCCAGTCAGTGGGCTCTTGGCATTGCTTTAGATTTTCATAGTTTATCTTTTTTTTTTGGTAAATTCATAGTTTATCTTTAAGTATATAAAAAGTAAAAAGATTGAAATTAAAAGATAAAGATTCTGGTCAATATAAATTTACAAAATTAGGAAACTTTACGTTTTGTTTTTAAGAAAGGTTGAATACAGTATATCAGAAATTCTTAAAATTGACTGTGTTTATATAAGTCAGCCAAAATAAAATTGGAAATACTCTTTGAATATATTTCCAAAAAACAACATGATATCTGAGTGTACTAAACTATTTTAAAATAAAGACTGTAATATATTAGGTAACAAATCAACTGGAATCTTTTTATTAGGAAGTATGTTTTAAATGTTCGTACCATGAGATCAATATATATATATATATATATATATATATGTGTGTGTGAGCATAAATCATATTAAGACATTCATATAATTTACTTTCCCTAAAAAGTATTCAAATATTAAGGTCCACCGAAAGAAAATGGCTTCCATTAAGCACTTCTTCCTCTTGTTTATTTGCTTTAGTGTTCTCGTAACCTCAGGTTAAATTCTCTAACCCATTTCCTTTACATGCTAGTGTTATTATAATTTGTCGATTCAAAACTGTAAACAAAAGTGATTATGATTCATTATTTTTTATCATGTTGGTAAAGATCAGACATACTTTTTACTAGATATATAAGAATTGTATGTATGTTGAAATATAGATTGATTTTTAGATCTATCAGCATCATGTAAAATTTACAGTAGCTCTTTAAACAGAAAAGATTGCGGGAGTAAAAAGGCATCCAACAAGAAAAGATTACTAGATTATCATCATTTGATCCATGAATCAATAAATAATAGCGCTTACATGACTATTGTCGTAGAATTCACATTGAAATGCTTATTTTGTTAGTTTAAATTTTGAATCAAAAGAACTAGTTATCGACAACAGACTACATACATTCAATCTTTTTCCCTTTTCTTTACTTTTTAACTCTTAAACAAAAAGAAAAACAATAATTCCTTGGACAGGATTGGCTGACTCTCCACTCAGAGATTGCAGTCCCGTCTTCAATGACAAAGATTGCGACAAAGAATGTAAGGAGTTTGGTCATCCGGGAGGCTATTGTGGGCCTGATGGAGCCCAACCACTGTTAAGCATGTGTTACTGCAAGGATCGTTGATTAAAGAGCTATTAAATGCACCCTAAAATAAAAGTAATGATAACGGGACTAAGCGTTGGATGTATTGTTCGTCTGCTTCTTATTTGAATAAATTTCATCTCGTAATCTCTTTTATTTTTATTATTATCTACGTAATGTAACCAATCAGACACATTAATTATTGATTATATTTTAGTCATCTAATCATACATTAGTTGATTAAAACGGGGTGTTACATCTGCCATTGCACCAAGCAATGGATGCCCACATTGGTGGAAACTACACCAATGAACCAAAAAATGATAAGGATAGGGCCAACATGACCAGAACAGTGACTCGGCAATCGGTCAAAGACTACAACTTACAAACAAATTGTGAATCCATGTAGGGTGGTGGTAGATATGATTGTACATTAGAGTGTTTAATGACACTTTGGGAAGCTCATTTGTTTGCCGAGGGTCTTTCATACTTCACTGTCCAGTCCTATAAGCTTTTTCCAAAAGGACCAAAGTTTCTGTAGCTTGATACCGGAAAGACGGCCAAGCAATGGGCCCGTTAACTGCTCTCACAAAAACAATCTTAGAGAAGTGAAGGCTTTGTTTGTATGGCCCATATAATGCTCTGAAGAGTGAATCATCTTTGTTGAGTGCACCCTTGATGGCACTTCTACTATGCATCACCACCTCTCCCTTTGAGTCTCTTAAGACCTAAGCACAACCTCCTAGCTTGTTTTGGTTGGACCAGACGGCTCCAATATTACAACAGTAATTCATCAAGTGGGTTCCAGCCTCTCTTCAGACATGATTTCAAGCTGATCCATCATCTTGAACTTCAATTGGCGCTTACTACGGTTGACAAAAATTAACTAGCCGGTTTACTGGATGATCATTTTTGATTCTGGTTCAATTTGGTTCCTTTATGTCACCAGAACAAGAGAAGACCCCGAAAGCCCCATTGATTATACTTGTGAATACTGAAAGCACTAACTCTAAATCCATATTCGGCAAATCGTTTAGTAGAGAGCCTGAGAGATTCAGAACCAGCGATCGATATGCAAATCACATAAAAACAGCTTCTTCAGAACCAAAAGGATTCGAAATTGATTCACTCATAATTTTTCTTCATACCCATAAGTAATCGATTGTAACTATTTATCCCAAGTCCGAGAACCTTCTCCTATACCGAAATCGATACTCCCACACCTCATCCACTATCGTAAGACTAATTTGGGGAAAAAAAAAGAGACATTTGCGATGTTTTACATTAGTGGTATGCTATTTTTTAAAGAGCAAAACGGCACCAAAAACTTAAGTTAAAGAGAAAAACGGCACAGCGTCAAGATCGAGATTGATTTTACATATTTTTTGCATTCTCTTATTACTCCTAGTCTAACCAGCAATGCAAGCCCAAATTCATAATACCCAAAACTGAGCCCATTACCGAGTGAGTCAATAGAGTGGACTATTCGTGGATGGTCGATGTCACAAAAAAAACACACACACACAGATAAAATGATTTTGGTTTAAGCTATTGACCGGATAAGAATACCGGATTAGGACCAATTTTGAAAAATAGCTTTAAATCATAGTCATTTTGGGAGGAAAAAAAAAATCACAATTTGGAGAGTGGACTATTCGTGGATTTGTCGTTTAAGACAAATTTTCTCAACTCAATATGAATAATTTAGCTATGTAATTATTTACATTTTAAAAGAAAAACTTAGTGGTTGTCCCTTCTAAAACATCCCATTAATGAAAATATTATAATGTTTAGGATTTCTGATAAGCGCATAATTGGAATCAATAATGTAGTTTTCAATTCATTATTATAGTTTTAAAACCTCCGGTACAACCCAACATCCGGTTCAACCCAACATCCGGTTCAACCAATACATAATTACTAATTAGGGATATTACAGAATCGTCGGACTTCGCCTTCACCGCCGAGCTTGACGTTCAGACGACCCAACTTCACCATCGCTCCGGCGAAATCAGCGGCGAAAGCAGAGCTGTTTGTCGCGTACGCGTCAATAAGCTTCTTCGTTGCCGGATCTTGGTATAGCACGGCGTCTGATGATATAACTGCTCGGCCCGACTTGATGTTGGTGAATATGTGGGTGTCGAATAGAAGCTCACCGTCCCAGTCCAACGGAAGCTTCACGTTAACGTCGCCGCCCTCCGGACATCTCGATCGCAAATTCCCGAAGAATTCCGGGCTAATCGGTGGAGCTGAATCCAGCATCTGATTCACAAAGAAGCAGGCTGCTTGTCCGATTGTGTGTGCACCTGAGGAAAGGTATCCAATAGCTTTATCAGTTGAGAAAAAAAGGAAATTCAAAAGGAAATCGGAGAAAAAAGCTTACCAGCACTGAGAAGGACCAGGTCCTTCTCAGTCAATCCTTTTTCGCCGAACTTCGATTTGAGGATCTCGATGCTGTCTTCCGAGTCCGGCAAGTTGGCGGCGTCCTCCGCTCTCGAGACCCGGCCGTCACGTCGACCAGTCGGAACTTCGAAGAAGGGGCCGTTCGTCAAGGAGACGGCGTCCCGAGCTGCCAAGGCGACTATATCTGCGCAGGAGACTACTCCAGGGCATATTTCCTCCACGGCCGCTTTCGCGTCTTCAATGGCGGAGAATCCACCGACTCCGGCGTTTCCCGGAGCAGCAGACTCACCGGCGTTGTGTCGTAGTAAAATTGAGCCATCGCAACCCTGCAAATCGGGAAAAAAATATAAAAAATTAGGGATTTCTCACGAAGAAGACAGACAAAAAACAATATGGGCCTTGGTAAAACTTAGAAGCCCACTAAAAAAAGAAAAAAAAAAGATTGTAAAGGAAAATAACGTTTACCAGGACAAAGCAGTCGTGAAACTGCAATCGTAGTAAAACGGCGGCGTTTAGCGGATCGGTTGTGACCTTATTTCTGATCACGGCCCGAACTACTGACTCTGCTGTTGGGCATTTATCGGCGTAGAACCCAACCGAGAGTTGGGCCTCCAAGGGGTTCAAGTTCAGCAACATAAAATAAGAAATCACGAATGTAACCATCATTTTCATTCTTATTATATTTTTTTTGTTTGCTTTAGAAGAGACTAAGAGAGATGAGTGATGATCAGCGATAACGAGCGATGAACTATTTAAATACTATATGAGAATTCAAAATTTAAATTCATTTATTTTTACATCAATAATTTAATGCACAAAACGTAATTATTGTGTAATTGTTTGTTTCCTAAACACAACCCATCTACTTTTCCCCATAACTTTTGATTTATATAGTAAAAATTTGATTAAAAAAAGTTTTATCTATTGTAATATTTTCGTCACATGCATCGATTCTCATTCGTTCATTTTTTTTTTTGTAATTAAGCCTTTAAATGCTTTAGATGTTATGATTCTCAATATTTTTCATCATATACTTTATGTTATTGTTGAGCTCCTATAATCTAACTAATTACATATAGCCCAATAGTAGCCCAATATCTATTATTAAATTACAAAATTGGAGTCTATTCTTGAACCTTCGGTGGTAAATTTGAATAATAGTTCTGTTAAGCTATTAGTCATGTAGAAGTCTTTTTTTTTTTTTTTTGACTCAACATCGGGAATTAAAATATCTTCTTGGTAAAAACCTATAGTAGTTCTAAGTTTCAATCAAAATAAATAAATAAAAATATGTAGTAGTAGTCGTTTTTATCTGTAATTATCAGTTCGAGTGAGAGTGATATGTGAACAACTGGTCTGGTTCTGGCACATTGTCCTATCTGTCATTCTTTTTGGTTTTGACGTGGATAATTGACGTCATTCAGATGTTTGTTTCAAATACCGTATACGTAATGCCGCGTCAACAGTTTTAATTTGATTTTGTTTTCTTATATTTTCATATTTTTTAAAAATCGTAATGTTAAATTATTCGATTGGAGTCTTTTGTTGAACCTTCGACAACAAGTTTGAATATGGTTCCGTTATGCTAACAACTAACAAGGCTGATTCGAAAAATCACTTTAATATTTTATTTTCTATACTAATCGAAATTGTTAAGTCTATATCAGACAAAACTAAAAAATGAAATAATTTTTCATTATGTTCATTGACATAATCAGCCTCCAAATATAGTGGGGTCCTGAAGCACAAAGAGATTTTAGTCGTTGGTGTCAATTAGGTGGTCTATAAAAATAAGCACCATCTCCAATGTAGAATCGCTACATATACATACATATTCAACAACTGAAGTTGCTGAGTTTGTGGTATATATGTATCAATGAAACTTTTCTCGATAGATATATTTAGTTAGAAATATAATTTATATCAATACTGAAAGAAGGGGAAATAGTACATGGACCAACAACCGCCAGGAACTGCTCAAATCAGTGCTTAGTGAGCTTCCCTTCCCACACATAGAGTGATAGATAGCCTCGTGTTTTTAGGAACGACCGATTACTACACATCAACTACTTGACAACTATACTTACCGAAAAAAATAAAGCAATTTTCTAATTTTGTTATATCTATATATAATAATATTTGAGAAGTGTTTTTGCTGACGTGTCGGACTCTCGGCTCTTGTTGAGTCATTGATTTTACGTAATTACTTAATTACCCTTAATGAAATCTAATTAATTTTGGAAAAATTAAATTGAATTTCGGAATTAACCAGGAAAAAATAATTTTGGAAACAATAAACATGATAATTAACCAAAAAAAAAAAAAGGAACAACGAAGTACCAGTTAGGAAGCTTTAATTGAATTCATCGTGTTCTTCGTCGTGTGAATATAATTCTTCTAAACGAAGGCAAAACTTGAAATCCTAACATAAAGCATATATTCATAGCAATAACAGAAATCTAATAATTTAGTGATAGAATTTCACTTGTTGATCTGTCGAAGCAGAATAGTCAAGCTTCTCATAGTATCTTGCCCATGTTATGTCTTTAAGACGTCAATACTATCCTGCACCCTATAATTCTAACCAATGAAAAGAACAAATATTTATTATCTTCGATACAGAGTTGACGAAGAAACCTTGGATAAAAACTCGACGAAGAAACTTGTAAGTGTTAATGTATGATGAAGCTTCCATGAACGTGAATTCGTGATCATAATGAAGAAACGTGTGAATGGAGACGGTTGATGGTTTTTTTTTTTTTTTTTTTTTTTTTTCTTTTTTACCTTTTGTGTAAACAGATCTGTTTCATAATTTATCGGAAAAAGAATTATACCAAAAAAAAAAAATCGGAAAAGGAAAATATTTATTATAATATTGATATATTTAAGATGATAATGTCAAATATCCGAAAATTATTAATCGGAGCATTAATATAAACATAAAAGAATACTATTCTAACCTTACTCAAATTAATAAGATTTAGATATCCGAAATTAATCGTAAACGGCTATTAATTGTTAAACTAATTAAAATAAAGATCAAACGTACCGGAATAGATGAAATTTTTGGTATGATCGTCGTGTTCGTCGTCGTTTCAATCTAAATATTTGGAAAAAAAAACGAACAAAAAAAATAATATGTAGATCAATGAAAGAGAACCCACCAATTTAGAAACGGTTATCACGCCATCGTATTGTTCGTCGGATGATTATAAGTCTCTAATCCGGAGATTGACTTGAACCCTGACAAAAACATATATTCATAGCATAAAATCGTAAATAGAAGGTAGAAGACCACCTATTAATCGGTTGTAACCTTGTGCAAACTCGATTTAATTTTGACGAATGAAATGTTGGTGTGGTGTCAAAACTTTCTTGGGGAGACTCGAAGATGAGAGAGCTGAAGTCAGAGATAGGCAGAGAGGTTTACATGTGAATTAAGGTATGGAGTGCTAACGTGAACATGAACGTGAACGGCGGTGATTTTTGCACATAATAGCAATTAGATCGAGTTTTGGAAAAAAATATGGATCAGCGTGACATGACGCATATGGATACCATGCATGTCTATCTATTGTAAATCAAAAATTATATTATTGTTCCGCCTTATTTTTGAAACAGAAAGGAATTTTCCCTTAAATTTTAATATATTTTATAAGATAGTATCAAATATAGTAGTAAATCTAAAATAGTTGTTATTATTCCATATTTTTACCGAAAAAAGTAAATATTATTTTAAATAAACATGGATAACAATGAATAAATGGCAGTTTTACAAATATTTATTATTATGATAGTGATTTGCTTATTAAAATATGTAAATTTTTTTTTTTTTTTTGTATTTATCGTCGAAAAATTTAGAAACTCTAAATCATGCACCGCCTCCTATTCAATATAAATACCTTGCTCATGGTATTCAATTTCAGATCATAACTAACCCTTGTTTTTTTGTTCTTTTTTTTCAAACTTTTTTTTGCTTCTACCTAATTTTAATTTTTCTTTTTATTGTAGGGTGGATGTATGGAGGGGACGATGTGAACTGGTGTATGGAAAATTTGGACCTAATTCAATGAATAAACAGGTGATCTTATAGTTTATATGTACAAATTTGATTTTTTTTTTTTGTATTTATGGTTTCACTATTTTCACCACTAATCAATTTTTATAATCAAAAAGTTTGGTTTCAACTTTTGAGAAGGTAATCATCGATGGTTTGGTATGTTTCTTTTTGTTGTAAAAAGATGAGGTACCTCCCGATTTTGTTGAGGTACATGTTCTTATTATTATCAAATATGTCTTTTCTCAGAAGAAACACTCAACTTTTGATAACACAGTTGCCACAAAGTCAGAAAGATGACTTATTTCAGGGATAAATCTTCAGAGGAGGCTAATTTTTGTCGTTAATACAATTTAAGTATTCCTCTCTTTAGATTAGGGATAACAAACTTGGCTGTTAAATTCAGGAATTACTCTTCGTTGCCAATCTCTCTCCCCAAACTAAAATATTACATATATTAAAGTAGTAACTTAAAGTTTTTGGTATCGAGATCATTCTAAGGCACTGAGATTCGGACTTTGGTATGTATAGGATTCGTTTTCCATGCACTAAGATTTAATTATTGTTTAATTTATTAGTTTTTAGGTTTCTTTCCATGCTCTGATGCGTTTTCGGGTGTGCCAATGGAAGCTTGCATCACTCTTTACTCCAAGCGTAAGTATGCTCTGCATTAGCTTCTTCTGTTCCATTGGTTATTATGGGTTTTGACTTTTGAGAAATATACAACAATTTAAAACCAGGTTTTGTTGTTGATTGGTTCGGTTTGTATACCATATTTTGCTAAATACATATGACCATAAATAAGACCAAAGGAGCTGGGTTAGCTCCTTTGCCAGCTAGGTTGACTTCGTCTCCTCCCCGTCTTGCGGATTTCCGTTATTCAACGGGTATATTTGAGAAGTATACGGTACTAAAACCACAACCATTGATCTTAGCTTGATCGGTTCTTCCCTAGGATTTATACATAAAAGTAAATTGTTTTGTTTAATAATTTTCCATTGCATGAACTTTCGAGACAACAAGTGGACAGGAGTGTAATGTCATCAAAAGTCAAATCAAACACTGTGAGGAACATAATAGACAACGTTGGCTTCTTTCGCAGCTGCTCAACGTTGTCTCTCCCGATGGTCCCAACACTCTCTTCTTCTTTTTTTGTCAACATTCAAACGTTGTTTAAAATAAATAAAATGTTTAACCTTAATCATCTTTCTAGATCTTTAAATGCCTAAAACTTCAACTTAATCAGTCAGCAATCCGTCACGTTAATGATTTTGAAAGGAAGACTTTTGTTTTGTTTCGGTTAGTTTTGTTTGTTTAGTATTTTAATCACAAGATAACTCTAATTTCCCATTAGAGTTGTGTTAATTGTGTTGATTATGATTTGGCGTTCCAATTCTGATATTATTTTTATGTTGTAAATCTTAAACTGTTACGTTATTGTTCTATCTTCCTATGTGAGAAAAAAGTAAAATGTTTTAAAATTTTGACATGGATAATAATATAATTGTAAATCTATAATAATTATATTATCATTTTATTTATATTTTTCAAAAAGAAATATATTTATCTTAATAGATTTAATATGATAATGTCAAATATAGTTATAAATCTAAAAGAGTTATGTTATTATCCCATCCTTTTATGAGAAAAAAGCAGATATTCTCTTAAACTT